TGTTAATCTGCAGAGACAGAACGATACTTACGCATCTGCCCAGTGAATCTCTCAATTCAGAAATTGGCAGTAAGAATTACTGGACTGATCAATATTATCCTAGGTTTAATGATTACTCACATAATGTGGCATTATTAAATGCCAATATTATTAAGTCAGCTAGACATTAAGCAAAAATGTTGATGTTAATTCCCAAAAAATAACTTTAGCAAGACTGCGTTTTTGTACTTACTTTCATGTTATCTATTATACTTACTGTCCTTAGATGTTTATTTGATTATAAGAAATGTTAAAACCTTTTACTATGAAGATTTATTTTTTAATGAATCGCATTTTAATTCTTTACCTTAAATCAGACTAATAATTTTTCGGTCCTTTCATCGAATTTTTTTTTCACGAAGATTTATCGATAAATTTAGTAGTACGTATCTGTCCAACACTAGCAAGTATGGGAGGCAGTCGCATTCGCCCCATAAAAAGTTTAAATTAATTTTTCTGGAAACTGAGCCTTATTCCCAGCACCTAGATACCAATTTCAGATACCTGTAGTGTGAAACTATATATACCCTTATTCCAAACGTATAGATTACGATTACAACAAGGTCATTTAACTGATAGTTGCATTAGCCTCAAGGTGGGGTAAATGTAACTTTTAGTGCTCTTATTCAACAATAATGTAAATTATTCAATAACTTAAGCCTATTTTTCACGTACTTTATGTCAGAACTATTCAATGAAAGGCATGGAATAAAGTAAGTTCATTTAAACAACCATCAGAATTAGGTAGCTAATGGTAGAGGACGACAAAGTACCAATTTATAAATTTTTAGTTGCTTTCGCCCCGGGTGACCTTACAAAAAAATAAATCCCTAAAATCCCAAATTGAACATTTTTATTTAAGATATGAAATATCTTGTCAAACGCCCAAACAAAAGATTACATAAGATAAAAGATTAAAGCAATATCATACATGTAACAAGGAATCTGCATTTGCATATTTAAAGACTTCTTGAGGTAAAGGCTTATCTTGAGTTTGTTCTAGACTTGTTTACTTGTAAATAAGGGCTTACAAGAATTTCAGATAAGCTTTGATATTTTGCGAAAGCTTACTGATATTTCTATCTCAACTGAGCGAGGATAGTGAGAAATAACTATTATTTATGCATAGCATGATGTCATCTGGTTAAATATGATCAATAAAATGTAAGAATGCGCCAATACTTTGCATTTTGTAATTACAAATTAAAAATTGACTTCACTATGGATCCTATTAGAGTTCTTTTTCAATAGCTCAGATATGTTTAATTATTAATTAACATAACATAATTAAAAATCTCAAAATTTAATCATTCTCTACCAAATTATAAATTATTATTATTTAATTTGGTCGCTGAGTTTAATACTTTTTACGTACATAAACATCTGCTTTATTTGCATTTGAAGTTAATAATAATAATAATAAAAGCCTTTATTGCTGTAATTACTTATACCTATTAGTACATACAAATGTGAAATACAAAAAATTAACACTAAAAATATAAATATAAATACTAATAATTAATCGGCAAGCCGGTTGGTTGGTTTCTGTTCTACAGCTTGTCCTTGGACATAGGCCTCCTCTAAGGGCTTCCACTCTTATCTGATTCTAGCTTTACGTAGCTACATAGGGCCAGCTACTCTTCGCACATCATCCTCCCATCTTTTTCTTTGTCTTTCTCGGTTTCTTTTGTCATAGCGAGGATGCCTTCCATCACTTTCTTCGTCCACTTATCCTTATCTTCTCTCATAATGTGTCCCGTCCATTTCCATTTCAATCGTCCTTTATTTCTTCTAGTTTTACTCTATATTTCAATTTAAGACCTAGAAAACATTTGAAGTTAATTATACCAAAAAAATATACCTCAAAGATATTGAAATGATATTAAATGCGGCGTTTTGAGATTGGTTGAAAAGGTTTTATAGCGATTCTTTGCCTCATCTTACGTTCAAGGGTCTGAAATCTTCAAAGGTTTTAATGAGCTTATTCTCACAGACTTGATATCATATGAGTTCGAGATGTTGGTGTTTATAAGAAGTTGTGTCTACATGTTAAATCTATAATCTCTAAACAAATCTATAAACTATATTCTATATTACTCTTAAACGATATAATTATTTCAATAGATAGACATTTAATTAACATTTTCATAATTTAGCGCCTCGTTTATGCAACTGGAAGTTAGTGCGTGAAGTTATAACAAGTTGGCCAGTTGCGTTACTACTGCGACCAACTTTGACCAACTTGGGCCAACTTCGGCCAAACTTGCCTTTGTAGTTCGACTGCACTTGAGTGTAAACATTCGTCTTAGATAAAATTGATGTTTTGGTTTGTGTTCGTCGTTTACTCTTCGTCTAATCTAGTGGTGTTAGATACTTTTAGGTTTGATTCCTTTGAATGTTTCGTGATAATTTGGTTCTATTAATAGACAAGCAGCCTTCTATGTCTCACACACGCCAAAGACTTTTTGGTTGGATGTCAGGACAGTCAATTAAACCGTTGCAAATAGCTTGTAAAAACATCATGTCAAATATATGTTTACGTCTACATTCTACGTTCCATATTTATTCATATTTTAATCGGTAATTATAATCAATGGTAATCATATACGGTATGCTATACGGATCTCAAAGCACAGTTTTTGTAAAACCTTAAATATTTGAACAATAACTTTGTATTGTAAAAAAATTGAATATTTGAACAACAGCTTTATTATTTTTCGTGGAAATTTTAAAAAACGCATATTTACCGACAAATTGAATGGCAGGAACGAATAGTATCGAAAATGGCTGACCGTACCTGTCATACAGCCGCGTCCATCGACAACTCTGTGTTTGACAATGGCTGTTTCGGCTCGAATATTTCGCCCTTTGTGGCAAAGCTGGCCTATCACGTTAAACCAGGATATTGGATGCAAAATTACTTTTTCTCTGAAAGAGTTTTGTTTAACGTTATATTGTATTTAAATGGTTGGTGTTTAAATATTATTTTTTAAAATAATTATGTCACGCAGAAATAATGAAGCTTTCTATTGGTGGACTATACACATGATTCATTAGTAACAAAGATGACTTTTTACAAACACACAAACTTTTTAATTATCACTTAATAGCCGTGGCGGTCATCGCAAATGACTTTGGCAATTAGCGAAAATTTCCATATTAAGTAAAACTGTTTAGGTTTTAGTTTTTGCTAACTGACACGAGAAGTAGACAAAAAACGTTTAGAATACAAATTTCAAACTAAAATATCTAAGGTACATGAAAGTCTCAACATTTCATCTAAAGAAGAAATACAATTATTCTTGTATATATCACATACGGCAACTTCTTGTCAGTTGAAAATATATTGAATGTGGATGAGCTAACTGGTTTAATATACAAGGCGATTGTTAATAACGTTGGGGAAAGAACCCACCTGCTTTCCTTGAGTAGAGCGTTTTCATATTATGAATTAGAAATTTATAGAAAAGCACTTTTAACGGCGAGAGTGATATTATGTGTGTGAGTGAGTATTCTGTCAGATCGTAGCAATCTGTGGTATTCTACGTGATAAAATATAGATATTAAATAATTCATATAATACAGGTAACTATGACATGAAAGGTCCTTTAATTTGAGAATCCTAAAATAATTTCATACTTCATAAACATAATCTGTTCGCGTCAAAAATGAATTACGTACACGTATTCACACATTTTCTCGGATCTTTTATACGATATTATATGTGAATCACTCGGGGAATTTATGAACGGCACTTCAATAACGACAATTTCTATTAGCGGCATAAACGTTATTGAATTATTTTAATGTGCGTTGAATGGGAGCGAAAATATATGGTTCTAAAATATTTTTATGGCGCGGAAAATGGAAAAGTAAAGACTGTTTAATCCACTGTTACCCGCGTGATTTTGTAGAAGAAAAGTATGTTATTAGCTACCCAATTACATCTTAAATTTTGCATACCTAATTCAATATATAAAGACGTATTTTAATTTCTTCTTTGATTATAAAGACCGGACCGGACCGTAAATTTTCTGAAATGGGTATAATGAAATTTCACAGGTAAAAGACGTAGGTCGGAGACTAGATATGGTAATTGCTCAGTATTTCCCTTCTTGGTCGAATCCTTTGGTGTGGAATGTCTAGAGAACGCAGTGGCTTGAGCGAATTTTTTTTGTTACGAAATTAACATACACAGTGACTTACTGACACTTTCATAAATATCAAATACATTCTGGAATGGCTATTAACTTCTATTATTTCTGTACCTATGCACAAAATATTATAGTGCCAAATTTACGCAAGTAAAATTAAAGTTAGTTTAAATAAGAATAACGTAATAAACAATTTTTATTAAAATACGATTATTTCCTTTTAGTTATCTAAAAGAAAGTCGTTAAGTAATCCCTTAATGGCCTTATTAGGCCGCTTGTTGCTCAACATAGCCCAAACAAAGAAAACAAATATAATCTTTTCTCTTACTCATACTCTCTTAACATTGTAATCAGAATATAAAGTAAATTATGCAATAATTTCCCAAATGCCTTTCTCCGATAAATATTAAATTCTGATTATAATGTGGAATATTGGTTAAATTAAGCCGGAATCAGTCGAGACTCGAATGGGATTACTTTTATCCTCAATTGGATTAAAGGGAGTTTACAGTCTTTTGCTTTCCGTCATTCTCCAGACACAAATCAATATTGAAAGTTGAGATTTCATAAACTTAATGGTACGAGATAAAAACATTTTCAATTTATATGAAAGATGTTATTTAAATAAAAAAATAGTTTAGAAATCTTAAATATGCTGCTATTGGCTAAGTTTTATCAGTTTTTTTAAATAGAACGAGGGCAAACGGCCTGCCTGTGGGTAGTAGATTCTACCAAAAATCTACCCACAGGCACTCACCCTGCTAGAGCCTCGTAAGTACCTTGCCAGCGTTTAAGGAATCAGTAATTTTAAGGGTTCAAGTTGTATTGATTTGAGCGTTGACGACCTGCATACTGTCTACTATCAGTACGCGGTAGACAAAGGACAGACATCATGGTGATGCCCATAATCTGAGGAGAAATCAGGCGCTTTGCACCATTTAACTAAAGTAGTCAGTTTCTCGCAGTGTAAACACAAATTAACAAAATAGGTGAAAGAGAATTTTAATCAAAACCATGCAATTATTCTAAAGGAAATTGTTTACTTAATTATATACATAATTTCTTACATCACTTAAGCCAAAATACAGGCTATTCCAAAACGCCCGTGGTCACAAGAATAGCCAAAAACTCGGCATTTTCCCTTTATATTCCATGCACGCTTTGATAACTTTGAGAATTGACATAAGTATGTGGAATCAATATTGTTGAATTTTTAATTTCATTTTACATATTGAGCGCATACGAATTATAAGTTAAAGCGTTTTGAGTCAATTTCGGAAATTAAATAAGCCTTCATTGCACAGAGAAAAATCAATATTATCACTTTGTAAAGTTTGTTTACGTTTAAAGTGTATGATAATTAAGAATTTGAATGTAATTATAAGATGAAAAAAATATAATGGAGTTCATTTTAATTTTAGATGTAAAATGTATGATAACTAAGAATTTGAATGTAATTATAAGTTACTAAAATTAAAATGGAGTTAATTTTAATTTAAGAATCGATATGCAATTCTTACACCAAGCAGATGTTTTTAAAGATATTCGGGTTAATTTAAACAAATATATACTTACTTAGTTACTCTGCTGGCTCTTCGACCCAAAAGTTTCTTGGCTTCCGAAATGAGAATCTTCCCTATCATGTGTCTCCCGCCAAATGCTGGCTTTCAGCTGTAGCAGATCCTCGTCCACTCTGTCGATCAAGCGGTACCTAGGCCCACCAATAGGTCTCCAAACACAAGCCTCCTTCACCATCCGATCATGGCCAATAAATTCAGCTGAATTCAAACATCTATTACAGTACATCAACTTGAATAAAAAAATAGCCATACTATAAACACAATATGACGGAGAACAATGGGCGATTATTACAAAAACCAACACGGAATCGAAATATATTCGCTGAAATCGATATAATTGCGAGCTTCAATTCCGATCATTACTAGCTGTTTAAATGCAAGCGAACACCTTTTATTGAAAATTCAACTGCCACAACACCATTAAATCCTATTTATTGCTTTAACCGTAACAGAAGTTATGAATAATAAGTGCCCACTAATTTCGGTCGCTTTGTTTCAATGCGCCGCAATTTATCGGAATGATTCATGCAAAACATTTTTTTTATCTATGTGCGTTGTGTGTTGCCTATGAGACTTTTAACAATATGGTACTTACATACTCCGCTGGTGAACGCCAACTTCGACGATTCTGCGCTGCCACTTTCGACAGAAAGTCCCATGGTGTCTTTCCACTAAGATCTGGGCTGGCCGATGGCAGAATGGTATACCCACCCAGATATGGTTTCCTGACACTCCGATCCTCAGCCATTGTCTGTAGGTGGCCAGTCCAGCGGAGTCTATTGAATTTGGCTCCGCCATGATGTTTTCATATTTTAGTTTTTGATTGGGCCAAGAATCTCTTTTTCGATGGTCGATCAACAGGGTCAATGAAAATCGTAAGCGGCATATCTCAGACCCCAAATGATGATGTCCATCTGGAACAAAAGGTTGATCACTTATTTGCCAATAAAAAAATATATTCAAATGACAGCGTAAAATATTTGTTCTAACTTTGGGGGAAATGTGCAGTAGGTTGACCTGATGTTAAGTGCTTCTAGACATTCACACACTCAGGAGGCTTGCATAGCAATGACTATCAAAAATGAATACTCATGGTAGAATCGCATATCTATATTAGTCTCCAAAATGCTGGACGATGCCGTAATTCAAAAACAGCAATAAAATTATTAAAGCGAGACTAAATTAAGCAATCAGTTATTTCAACATTTAAATAACCGTTAGGCATTAATAACTTTTATATATTTTATATTTATCTGAATATATTAAGTATGTTAAATCGGTGTTCCGTAAGCACATATTCGGTGAGCAAATATAATCAACTCGAGTAAATAGGGGGCTCGCTACCGCTTTGTGAATCTTGGGATGAAATGGAAATTTCTTTATACCCTTCACATATATTTTATTTGATTATAATTTAGTACTTACTTTAAGAAAACATTCGATCAGTTGATACACAAACAGTTTCGGTTTTTATTAGTAATCTAGAGTGTCATATCTACAAATGTTAAAGTTTTTATTAATTGTGCTATAGTTTAGATTTGCATTTAAAATCTATACGAGCTGTTTCATTTTGTAAAAATTATTGTGTTGTCTAGTTACTGTATGAACAATTATAGGAATACGACATTCGAATACCACATTTGAGATATAAATAATATTTTAGTATCTACGGTACCATCTATCAATATTATAAGTTCATTGCGTCCTTGTTTTCTTATGAAACCTTTTGCCATTGCCTTACGTGGAACCTATACTAATTATATTCCTAGGATATTTATAGCTAATAAATCTTCCCCTGAAGTTAACTCCTTCCACCTCACTTATATAGTGTTTAGTTTTTTCGTTCGTTCAAAATTTTGTTTGCGCGCTGTATTTGCGTTTTAAAGCAAATGAGTTTTATATTGTTATTTTTTGCTTTCAAATACTCGTTGGAAAATTAATAACTAGAGACAGATAAGTGTCATGTTCTTGAATACGTTTTCTTTGTTTTTCACTGGCTAGGTTAAGCTAGGCTAGCCTAAGAACGCCGGCACCGCGTTTGCGAGCCTTCCGGCGGTAGTGTTCATGGCCGTCGCAGCGGTGTCACTTAACATCAGGTGAATCTCCTGCTCGTTTGCCACGAGTTAGGTTGATTAGAAGTTTTTTCAACCAAACGAACTCTTCAAATTATGACGTGACTTAAATAATATAAATTTTCTTATAGAAATCCTTATTTTATTAATTAGCAAAGCAAATTTGAGCTATGATTTAGGATGTTCGCAATAATTTAGTTAACTGGCTGCCATGGTTAGTGTGGTTGGGGCGGCATTTAACATTATATTGAATATCATGAACCAAAATTTACAGTATTAATTATGGCTTAGCTAAATTGACCGCTATAGCACAAACATTAACATAGGACACTAAAATAATGTCAACAAATGGTATTGTATGATGGTATGGTATGGTATAAATAATATATTTATGAAGATTTAAATGAGGGATTTTTTATTTATTTATATAAAACTAGCGACCCGCCCCGGCTTCGCACGGGTGCAATGCTGATACTAAATTCAAAGTGCTATAGGGCAGTGTTGCCGGATGGTCTCGGCGACGTACCTCTATACTTATTTGATTTCCCCTAGAGATCCCCTAGGATGCCTTCAAATACAAAAAAATAATTATTATTGTGTAGGGTTATTACTGAATTTTCATGTTATTTTAGAATTTGTATTTAATTAAAATCACATCGTTCTTCGACAGCTCAAACGAATATACAATTAGTAAAGTTATCCATAAGAGATAGACATAATATACCATCGCGGAGTTTTCTGTGGACCTTTTCAATGTGTACAATACTTAGTACATTACTTTGATAAATCTCGTACGGTTCAGCCTGCGTTTGCAATGTAAGCGGAAATAATGTAATTATGTACAACATCACATTAGAAACCTCAAAAATAACAGTATTTCTCCACTATTTAATGGATGTTATTATACATATAAACCTTCCTCATCAATCACTCTATCTATTGATAAAAACCGCATCAAAATCCGTTGCGTAGTTTTAAAGATAAAGCATACACATTTTAGTTCAAAATAAAGCAACATTTAAAATTAATTAATAAGTGACGCATAAATCAGCTCCTTTTTATGGTGGGTAAAAGAGGAACAGGTCACAAATCTGTGGCAACGGGTGCGGAGTCCGGCCATTCCTTTGATACTTATTAACGCATTCCTCTGTGATTCAGGGCCGTATTTCAAACACGTACCTACTTCTGTCTTGTGTGGGACGAGGTAAAGAATTATGCGGGTTTTACAGACCTAATATTTAAAAAAAAGATAACGTTTATTTCCGTCTTTGTTTTACCTATAATGAGTATACTGTAAAGAATAATTTTATACAGTTATTTTAATGCGCAACAGTCTTATACCAACTGGCTAGAGAATTTTATTTATTTACTAGCTGACCCGGCAAACGTCGTTTTGCCATGTATATTATTTCTGGGAAAAAATTTTTTAGTTCAATAAAAATAACTATCTTCTATAATAAAAAATAGGGGTTGATCGTAGAGGGGCGACAATTAAGGGTTGTATGTATTTTTGTATAAAAATAAAAGTTTAGGGGTGGGACCACCCTTTTAACATTAACGGGGATGAAATTTATGTTGTCCGATTCTCAGACTTACTGAATATGCATAAAAAATTTCATAAGAATCGTTCGAGCCATTTCGCTGATTTTCAAGCAGTGCTTGTTGGTAAAATTAAGAAGGTAAGAATAAATTCTAAAATCGCACTTCTCATTTGATATACCATAGACGCAGTTTTTTTATTTACTGGTAATTTTTTTATAAAAGGATTTGAAAAATATTGGGTCTTAGTAGCCGGTTGTGTTTCAGCGGTGTAATAATCTAAAATTACCATATTGAAATTTACTACTACTCAAAAAGTTCGGGTTTTTTGGTGTAAAGAAATAAATAAGTCAAATGCAGTTTGTTAGATTGTACAATCGCTCTTCGCATATGACTTGCAATCCTCGCTGCGGTCTGTCTTTTTTCAGTAACTTTTTCGAAATGCTTTCAGGACTTAAAAAGATTTCAGATGATTTGTGATTGTGGATATTCCGGGACAAAGCTCTTTGCAACATCGACAGTTGTAAATGACATTGCGAGTGAAGAAATATTAGCTGATTTAATGTACGCTGATACTCTTTGTTACAGAATTGGGAAAATAGAATGGTGAACTGGCTATTTCGTGAACTACATTGTATATTATTATTAGAACTATGATATTATTTATACACATTTAGATTCGCGACGGCCGGATAGATATTAAATTAAGATTAAAATCTTGCTGTCATGAATTTAGCCCCGTTTGCATACCAATAGATTTGTTGCTACTCTTGCTCGAACAATGAAGAAAAATGGAGGATATTTTCCAAGTCTTACACCGATAACCACGACGTGTCAGGCACAGAAGGCCGCTTACATATTGGCCTAAGAAAACAATGTTCATGGGAATAATAAAAAAAAAGATTATTAATAGCAAACAAAAGATTGCGGGTAGATGATGTGAAAGTATTAGGTACTTTGAATGCTCTTTAATAATTTTTACATTTAAAGTGTTAAAGTGATAGTTTTTATGTCTATATAAGTACCTTATAACTTCTGGCTCTAGTTTTGTTTTAAAATGTTTTTCACAATTCACTTAAAATTTCAAGGAAGCATTTCAAAAAACTTTTCAATATCTTGCAGTTGTGAAAAGTGGTATAGTTGAATTCCGTAAATACTACTCCTGCGACGGGAGATTTCCTTTGAAGTTTGAATGTTTTTGGACTTTTATGCTGGCATCACTTTTAAATCTCTAGTCACAAGAGCTCCTGACTGAATTTCATGAACAATGAGATGCAACCGCAGTAAGATGCTGTTGTTTCATGGAGTTGCAGAAGAAAGCAAAGAAGACATCACTGCTGTGTTCACCGAAGTTAGCCCTTTGGTATCTTCTCCCAAGTCGTTGCTAACGTTGGAGTCTAGTCAAGATACCCTTACTTGTGAAATAAGATGATAAAATAAAACCCAACTGAAGGGTTCGTGTGTAACGATTTCATAACTTCTTAAGAAAGACAGGCTTGATGAGATGGAGGCGAGGAATAATTTGGTGTCTCTAAGGGGATGTCAGGCAGTATCCACATTATCGCTCCTGATGGCACCCAGCACGGAGCACCGAGTGATTTCTATGACTGAGCTGAAAGCAAACTTCCTCAATAGCTATTAAGCCTAATCAGGCTGCCTTTAAGGACGTGTCCCATAAGGGAAATAAAAAGATAAATAGTTTAATTTTCAAAATCCCCCAATAATCATTAATGTTTTCAAAAGCTTATTTCACTTCTCTTAAACACATCAAACAATAATTGTTATATAAATGGGATTGCAATAGTTGATTCAGGTGTCTAATTTTAATGATGGTAGTAAATAGTAGGTAAATAATTAGTTCATGGTGTGAACAATATTTTATTTCGACTTTACATTAAACTTTCTCCTATAATACACTTCATATCGTCTGTATATTTAGCCTTTAAGGTATATTTAATTTGAAGTTAACAAAAGGTAATTGTTGGTGGGCAACCTGTAAACTATTATTATAGAAGAATACAGGATTTAGAAATGTTAATCTTTTGTTGGCGGGCTTATGTGATTCTCATGTTGTGTGAAACTCGACATTTGACACATGCCGGTCGCACGTTTCTGTCACAACAGTGGATTGAATCATAGATATGACTTTTTTACATAAGTTGTGTGTAATATTGGGTATCTATGACTACAAAACATTTTGTTAATACACATTAACGTTTAGCTGTAATATAACGATTAAAGAACTTTATTGCTCATTACAAACATATTTTTGTTTACATGAGAATCTTAATATTAAAATACATTACTTTTATAATAGTATTTACCATTATAGTTCCTTATAATAATAATAAATCGAATTATTTCATTGCTTTCACCTTTTGCTGAAGGTGTTTTTTCTAGAATAGTGTTTTTTTTTGCTTTTTAAGCAGTGAAGAAATATTAAATGCAGAAGTAGTCCTTTGGTATATGGTGTTTATTATTACTTGTTAAATTGTAGCTTAGCACTAAACTATGATGATTATTATTATTATTGTTAATAATGGATGTCTGTAAACATAGCTTTCATTCGATAGTATCGTCGGCGTTCGATAATTTGTTAAGTTCTAATAAAAGGGCAAGTTCCTTCGATAATTCCTTTTCCCCACTAATTGTAACCCTTTCATGCCATCAGTGTCATCTTTAGCCTATCAAAAAACTTAAACGTAGTCCACATCAATGCTCAAAATATACATATATATTCCGGCTCATTATACTGTTTACATCATTTGCATACTCCAATGTTCATGCCATTCTTATTTCTAACAGTTTGCTTAAGCCTAGTCTGCCTTTTACTTTCTTTCCCATTCCTGGCTTCCATTTTCTAATGACTGCTTGGGGGAAGTCGGGGCAGGTGTTGCCGTTAATTTATGTGCCAATAACCCTTTCACTATTCTTAGCTGCTCACCCCATGATGCATTGGAGCATATGTTACTTAGTCTCCTTTTCGCATTCCAAATTACTCCTTGGAGTGTTTTTATCTCTTCTTTGAATGTATACTATTTTATCTTATTGTAATGGGCGATCAATACTTGTTCGCTATAAAATTGCCCTAGCTCGTGTAATTTGATGTCTACCCTCGAATCTTATAATTGTTTTTTTTTTAACTTTAAATGCTACTCACACATGAGCCGGATTCCATTCCTTCGCTCCTGGATCTCAATCAAAAGAAGAAAAGTCAATAAAAAATGTCTATCCTACCAAAGTATGAATATTCCTGAAATCCTTTGGAATCGGAATACAACAACTCTTGGTACTTTGAATCTTGACCTCCCCAATCCACGTTTCACCCGACATCCCACTTTTGATCAAGATATTAAATCTCAAACCATAAAATCTCTTAATTCTTGTTCGTTCGATTCGTTCTTTTTCGATCCGTCGATCACTGAGACCGAAGAAAGGAGGAGCATGATGCTTCTCTATATCTCTTCAAAAGCCACAGATGCTTTACTCGTGACGTGATCCTTTATTGAGATATAAATTTTTGTGATTACTCACATTTTCAAAACCTCTGTCTCCTCTTTTTCCTATCCTACTGTCTGGAAAAATACCATATATATTATTTCTTATACCTTATATTAGCTACCGATTTTGGTTTAGTATTCTAGTGTTGGTATGATTCATTTTTTTGTTAATTTAGTTATGCAATGTACCCATAAGAGGTATTTCTATTACTTTTTACTTTCTAGGGTTGCCTGGAAAAAAGCGCTAATAAAATAACATGAAGCCACCCGTTGCCTAATAATTTATGATACCAGTTTTCATGTGTACCGTTCAGTAACGTGTGTAATGTGTCAGAAATATAAATAAATAAAATGATCTAATTATAAACTCTCACAACTAAAGCTCCAATCACTCTTGCCAACATAAATATATAAACTGACAGCCAGACAGAATTTAGCTTCACAAAATTACGATCTCTGTTGTCTGTGAAAACATATGAGTGATTCATATCTTCGCTATATTGTAAATACAAACACATTAAACGAAAGGTGGATCTCTTCAGCAAAATAAACAGTTTGCAAAATCTATTTCCAAATTACTGCGAAAATCCTTATAATACCCTCTGTATAAACTTATTCATATTTCCGATAAGAGTTCTTAATAGGCATATTAATGCGTCCCATGAACCTTGTGTCAATTTGTTTCGGGTTGGTCCAAGTTAATAAACCCTTTTGCATGACGTGTAACGTAACATAACGCGATTTTTTTTTCTACCTTTATTTTAATTTAAAAACTGTTTTGTTGGTAACTGTCCTAACTAACTTAACCAAACTTTTCATTAAAACACAATACGATTTCAAAGAAAAAAAATCACTTTAAAAGTTAGCTTTAGATTGAACCAGGTCCGGTTTATTTTGAAAACAGCTCTTAAAGTAAATATCGTTACATTGTTAGTCAGTGTATTTTTCGCGCGAGTGCCGCACTTTATTTTAGTTTCATAGTGACAGCTTTTCCATGACGCTACATGACACGTTCGCAAAATTTTATAGTTAAGTATATTGCAAATAGTGTTTCGCGTTTCAGCAATATATATTTTATTATAAAGGGGGAACATTTTATCTTTTGTAAGTAACTATTAAACTCAAACCGATTTCAAAAATTGTTTCACCATTTGAATGCTACTAATTTATTTGAATTTTGAATGTTTTCTAAATAAGCAAATTAAACATACTTTAAAAATGCCACGCAAACTTTTATATTACCAAGGTGTTTTATGATAAACGTTCGCCTTAGCATTTCTGGTTTAATGCTAACATGTCAATGGAGTCTTTATTCGAAGAACAAAACTATCTTATATCCGATTTAAGCAATATTACTTTTGCACTTTTTATCTTGTTTTTTTTGGTATGAAGTTTGGTAAAAAGTTAGTCCATGATAGTATGGGCCCATTGCAAATCGACATTGCTTGTGACAGCATATTAAAACTCAGTTAGCTTTTTAGTTCACTGATAAACGTTAAATAGATTTACCAGAAAATATGATTTGGGTCTTTTATAGATAATATATATTTTATTTTTTATTTTTTAATACAGAAATTTACCCAATGCCTATTTATTTACTATTCAACGAGGAAATAAGATGTTTAAATATATATACCACCTAAAACCAAGAGCTTAAAGCTTAAGATAAAAATGCAGAATTTTTTATACGTATATTTCAGCGCGTTGAAAAGTGTCGATAACATCTGGTTGAGACTTTCCCGTTATGAGAAAATGTCAAGAAATAAACTTGGTACCTCAGAAATATGTTTACAAGGTTACCTTATACCGGCACTTTACGACAAGATAAGACACAACACGAAAACAAATCTTGATAAGAAAATAAAGACTTTTTAAAGACTTTTTTTATCTTATTTTGTTCGACTGATACGAATATTAATTTAATAGACTTTTTACAACTTTAGATACCTTGCGAGACTTTAGATTTCTACAGAATATCTTAGTACTTACTTTTCTTTTGTAACTTAGTGGCTAAGACAGATAGTGAATAAGTGATGCTTCTTAGTAGATATAATAACGTAGGATTTCTAAATAATTTGAACCTAAGCTTGTTAGTCTTTAGCAATTTGTCTTGAGTTCCTTTTGTTTAAATTAAGTCTTTGTAAACGGCATTTGAACTTGATTCTTCAAGGAATAAGTATTAAGGAATACGTTCGGATTTTAAATAATCTTTAATCTCTTATTCATTAAGGATCCACAACCTTTGTTTAAGTTTATGTCATATATTAAGTTATGTTTATAATTATACTCTTAATATATGAACATAGTTATTCTAAGAGATTTAGAGATATTTTTTTTTTACTCTCTATATTAGTCAAAATGCTTTTTGCTTACGCCACTATCACAGATTATATAGGTCAGTTAGAGCAGTTTTAAGTTGCCCCTTTAATGGAGCCTGACGTTGTGTCTGTTTTAGCAGACATCTTTTAAAGCAAGAGGTAAGCTAGCTATATAGTAAACCTACTTAGTGGCGTATATAAATGACACAATAAGAATTGTTGAATTATTCTCAGATATAACAACGCGTCTCGTTTCAAACACAACGTGGTCCCTTTAAAAGGCTGAAGCGTTATTTATTATATAAATTTTCATGAATTTACTAACAAAATAATACAACATTATAACATGTATCGACTGTACAATTTTTTAAGACTAACAAAGGGTACATTCAAAGATTCCATCATCAGATTTATCATCTAATGATGATTTAGATGTTATAGTCTCAGTACAGCTGATTATACTAATTGTGGAATGAATTATTTGTTCTGTAATCGAAAACAAGGCACGGCAAAACAAGAGTTTGTCTATGTCGAGGTTTGATTGTATTTTATTCATGTAATATATTACTAAGTATATTTAGTAGTTTTTCTAAGAAAATAAAGTATAAGAAGAAAATAATTAAAGGTAGATTTATAACCGCGTGGTTTCGAAACTTGTGTACAGTAAGGTTTAAATAATTATAGAATTTCTATTATTATTATTAAATGAAGTAAAATGTTGTAATTATTACATACACTAATTATATATTCACCACACATTAAATAATTCCTTTTACAACTAATTTATTTTATTAGCCAAATGACAATCGAAATACGAATTTTATACTTAGTGTATTGAGCTAAAATATCGATTTACTCAGCCCTAAAACCTACCTCTTAATATAATAAAAAAAAATTGAATGTAAAATGTATAACATTACGAGTGGTATTTTGGTAGGACCACTACCAGAAGGATCGCCTCAATATAAATTTGGATTTTGTACATCTAATTAGCTTTCCTTTATCTTTAATGACTTATATTCTGGATCGCACGAAAATTTTGAAGTGTTGTAATATCGCAGTGTCAGTTAGTCATTCGTATTCTAGTTTTTACTGGATTTACTTGAAACTACAAACATATTGCTCGACATTTCAACGGTCACCTAACAATTCAACCACGCGTCAAAAATACGAAAGTATAAAATCGGAAAAGCTGAAGATATTGCCGGAAGGAGCAGGTGCCTCTCTATATTGAATACACTTCCTTCGCGAGTTATTGGTCACCCTGTTTCATTTATCGACTTATTTTTACTTGTATTACAAGGTCGGGTATTTTACTGCAAAAACATTTTGGAAATATAACATAATCGGATTGTTTTTATATAGGTAAAATATTGAAGTGGCAATTTGTACCTAATAAAATAGAATTGTGTGCAAGCCCAAGATAAATAAAGAACGCAGAAAAATTGACTTTTTCATTTGCGGCTTGAGGCCAAGGAATAATAAAATATCAATTGTTTAGTAACGCATTCGATATCTTGTACTAAGGATTATTGGTATGCATTTAATAGTCATAGATAATAAAACCTAAAGAAATAAATAGATGTAAACGGAACCGGAAACGAAAACTATAAAAATATATAAATTTCACAGTATGTACTCCAATTAAAAAATATGTAGTTATTTGTTATGGCGATAGTGTTATTATTACCTAAGGATTATTGTTATGTATTTAATTTTCATAGATAAAGAACCTAAACTAAATTATTTAGTAAATTTGTTACGCCGATAAACCTAGAGTGTTTATTAGCACTTTTTCCACGCATATATTACACAATTTCCTTTATACCCACAAAGGAGAATTAAAACACTTTGTGAGTGCCTTTTGTGTCCACAAATCATCATTTGATAGTTTCATTTAAATCAATCGTCAACCAATAAATATTTTATAATTCAATGAAAATTAAACACCGCTCGTTTTTATCTGCAACAATAATTGTTTTATTTAACGAATGTAAAAATAAATTTTGCTTCTGTATTCCCACATAAATAAGCGAACTCCATGGTACAATATTAAGTGAATATTGATTTTTATTATTAATATTGTAAAAGCTTTCTTTTAATAACATTTATATCAATAATTGTCACGTTGTAAAATTCTATTACGATTCAAAACCGATGTGAAATCTGTGTATTTTTGTAATATACAATTATGTCCATACACAAAATTCTTCATATAATTTAATGTATAAAGTATAATGTATATATATTTTTTAGACTTGACATAAACAGGCGGTCGCTACCCAATTTTTTTTTTATAAAATTTTTAGCTCTCACAATCTTAAAATGTATCCAATATCGTTTAACATTATGTCGTAAAAAATATCGACCTCAAATAACTCAGAAATTCAGCGTTCGTTTTCCGGTGATACAATAATTGTTTACACTATAATATCTCTGAAGAAAAACTGTCGCAATCAGCATGCATAATGCGTATATAAATAAATATTAAGTAATACGCATGGCTCTAATAGCAAAAGAATATTTACATCAATCTCAAATAACTTTAGAAGCGGAATAAAGTTTGCTAATGCATAAAGTTGCGACCTAAATAACTTGAAAGTTGGGAAAATAATTTTATATCGATACATTCAAGTTGATATTGGCAGAATACCAAGGAGACAAAGTTTTGAAAGACCTTCATCCAATGCAACTTAACTCTGCCAAATGTCCAGCCTCGGAACGGAGTTTATTTCAAATGTCATGTGATAAAGGTAAACTTTTTGTAGATTCTTAAGATGTTATAGAACTTTTGAATCGACGTCTCAACCAATTACCAATTATATGTTAGACGAAGTATTAACGTTCTTATTCCTTAGTCTTAAGGCATTCAGTTGGTATTTGCGGTTTTAGTACGTTTATGATGGGTTGTTCAAACGGGGCTGCAAGAGTTCACGTTGGGAGCTTACAGTTTAGCGATATACAGGAGGCACTTAAGCGACTTAAGCCAAAAAAGGCAGCAGGCCCGGACGGTATACCGCCTTATATCTTGAGAGATTGTGGCGTTGTACTTGCTGAACCACTGCTACACATATATAACCTGTGTCTGAAAGCAGCAACATTTCCCACATGTTGGAAAAGCAGTCGGGTAATTCCAGTTCCTAAAGTAGGACGCCACGAAAAAGTAGAGCAGCATAGGCCAATAGCTATATTGTCAAGTCCGGCGAAGGTGTTGGAAACTGCACTTCAAAAGTGCATACTTAATCAAGTGAGCTCCCAACTCTCAGAAGCTCAACACGGGTTTCGGTCTACGAGGAGTACCACTAGCAACCTCTTAAATTATATGGCTAATATTAGCCCAGTAGTGGACAGTGGAAAGCAGGTGGACGCTGCCTATTTCGATATTAAAAAAGCGTTTGATTTGGTCGATAACGACGTGCTTTTGCAGAAGTTTGCACAGGTAGGATTCACTCCACACTTATTGAACTTCATGGCTAGCTTTATGGAAGATCGAAGGCAATACGTGGAATACGCTGGGTGTAGGTCAGAGGATTACTTTATGAGATCAGGCGTGACACAGGGCAGTAATTTGGGACCGATGGAATTTATGATAATGCTGAATGACCTACCAAAAGTTGTCAAGAATGCAAAGTGCTTGCTCTTCGCTGATGATATCAAACTATACATGCCCATCGAAAGTACAGACGACTGTATACGGCTGCAGGAAGACATTGATCGAGTGGTAAATTGGAGCAGGAGAAATAGATTAGAGTTTAATTTGGCGAAATGCAAAGTCATATCTTTCTCGAGAGCACGATTTCCCACTCGATACAATTATACTATTAGTGGTCTAACGTTGGCTAGAGTATCAGAGGTCAAAGATCTGGGAGTATATTTTAATGCCAATCTTGGGTTTGCGCAACACGTCGAGAAGACATGCAAAAAGGCATACAGAAATTTGGGGTTCATATTACGAACAGCTTGTGGCTTCACAAATATCAGTGCGATTAAAATTTTATACAATGCATTAGTCAGAAGTCACTTGGAGTGCAATGCAATGGTGTGGGCCCCATATGAGGCTAAATACAGTCTCATGTTAGAGCGAATACAAAATAAATTCACCCGTTACCTCTACAAGAGACTGTATGGAGTGTAGGTATCCATTGTATCCGCTTATGTACCCGACCCTGTTTGTTCTGGGTATGGTGGGCTATGACCAGCTACGCCTCAGAAGAGAGCTAGCCTTGTAGGTGTATGTATTTAAGATACTTACGGGTCGGGTTCATAATCTGGACATAATGGAGAGACTGAGTCTCCGGGTACCAAGTAGAAACCTGAGGCGGAAGTCTCAACTTTTGGATGTACCGCGCGCACATTCTAACTTGGTTAGCGAAGCACCACTCACGCGAGCAATAATTATAATAAATAGGATTTCTGTTGAGGTAGACCTGTTTTTTTGTACACTGGCTGAGTTCACAACAGTTGCTTCCTATATTATTAGTTATAAGATTTAGATATATATATATATATATTTCTTAATGTTTTTTATCTAGGTTAATTGGTGTGGGTGTAAATATTGTGTCGTTCTATCGAATTAGTAATTAGGTACTGTAAAGATAGAATAAGGATATAGAATAAATAAATAAATGATTGAAGAAATGTGTTGTTAAAAATGCATTGCTTTTGTTAAAAATTAAAAAAAAACTTTCTATTGTTGTTAAACATCGAAAAAAAGATTATTGAAATCTGACCTAAAAGCTTAAGTATTCAAATTGGTAAATCAATTTTTCCTTAAGAGAATATTTTCCCACTAACCTCAAAATAAATACATATCTAAAAAATCGAAGCGTATAATTAAGTCTTACATTAGCAAAATTTTCTTTGTTCACAGAAGCCGGGGGCCTCCGTACCACGGAACTGAATATTACGCCGCGAGTCGTTCAACGAGGTAGAAATGTAACGATGGCCTGCATATACCAGCTCCACGAGAGTGAGATCTATTCAGTAAAGTGGTACAAGGGCTCGCAGGAGTTCTATAGATATTCTCCCTTAGAGTCTCCCACTACTAGAGTGATGCCCGTAAATGGAATCAAAATTGATGTGAGTACAAACTTTTCTTCAATAATTGTTTTGTTCATGTAATAATTATTATCATCGCATTTTCATAATTAGACTGCTTGATTAATTTTTTTTTAAATTTATGTTATTATTATTAATTTCTTGATATGTCATGTGGAACATGGTGTAATGGTTGCAGCTCCTTTCAAACGTTGTGTAAAAAATAATGGCGATTAAAAAGAGTGGCGGAGAGTTTATTGCCAGTTCTTCTCTTACGTTCTACGCCCTTGATTTGAGAACTGGCAGTAAATGTAAAATTAGAAGCATTAACATGTATTTCTTTACTGACAAGTCATAACTGTACATTATGTTACCTACATGATTAAATGATTTTTTACTTTTTAATAATAACGTCATTATTTTCAGTACATAATGTATTACGTAAATCGCATCACTAAGTCCCTACGCTGCATCGATTCGTAAGAAAATCATAATAGAGGAAAATCTTTTAAATATTTTTTAAATTGAACTTTGTTCCCTTGTTTCAGAGGTTAAATTCAAATGAGACACACGTAGTTATAATGAATGTTACACCAAACTTAAGCGGGAACTACAGCTGTGAAGTAATCCAGAATGCTCACACTTTTCCCCATTATACGGCCAAATCAAGACTTGATGTTGTAGGTAAGTAAACCAATATGATATTTCATAAATGATTTTATACTTTGACATTAACAATACCTAATAGTGGTTAAGACATTATATCTGTATGAGCTTCGACATACTCTTGAAGCGCAAAAGATACTATTCTAATCTTTTGTTAATTAAATACATTAATTCCATGATTGGGACAATCAAAATCTATGTTTTAGTAATAAATTGAAATTGAATGACATTATCTTTATTTATCTTTAAATTCCAATCATAATGACCACGACGAAGGTGGGAACTTCGGAATGCTTCAACAATAAAGTTTATGATACAAATTGTTTTTTATTTAAAATAAGTCAGGTTATATACATCTCATATATACAATTAACCATTTGTCCTTATAGTCTTTTGGTAAGAGTGGCTTCCTTATGTCAAAACCAATATGTTTTTGACAAACAGGAGTCTGGCTTGCTTCTCTCTAGCGCTATCCTCTTGCCATTTTCAAGACAAAAGCATATTTCCTCATTTGTAAATATGTATTAGAAATAATAACTGTTTAAAGTTCCTTAAAAAATCCTTTGTGTAGGTATTTGAGTAAGTTACGGCATTAGCTATTGTTAGAAATAAGGGGTGTTCATAAAAACTATATCAGTCTTACAACCTCGTCAAAATGTGTTTCCACTTTGTTGTAGACAGATACGTATGTACAAAGCATGAAAAATATTAAATAAACAAACGTTTTTTCGGGTAAAAGTTCCAAGCATATTACTTTATCAGTACATTTAGAAAATCTAAAAATATTTTTTTACAAATTCATAAAAGGAATATATAAATTCACAAATAAAAGCTTTATTATCAACAATATATCAATAGTATTGGAACTATCCAAATGTATTTACGAGCGTGTTTTGCGTGCGTAACCAATAAGTTCGGCTATAACTGCTCTCTCGCAGCCAGATAACGCCAGTAACGATCAAGACACGCGATTTTCGTCCTTATCTGCATAGTGATGTCGCCTTTATTGGACCAGGAGAAGTATCGACTGTAATAATGTTTCGTAGAAATCTATTGTATTTTCGTACGGCGATTTTAGTCTACGATTGGCGCAGACTACATTTTCTTCATTTCATTTAAATACTATTCGAGTATTGAGTAAATATATTTTTTTAATACATATCAGTTATATCTTTTTGTATTTATTAATATCACCCTATCTTTTATCCGAAGCTTAGTAAAGCTAGCCTTCATATATGTATAAATGTCTTTCCTACTTAACCTAAACAAACGTTATGTTAATTCTATATAAACAAATTTTTACTGATTATAAAATTGTGTAATTGACAACATAAATATAAAACTAAAAGCCTCTTACACTTACTAAAAAACCCCCTTTACTCTTGGAAAGAGACAAAGCAATACTCGGGCGCTAACAAAACCCTCGAGGCGTTTTTCAGTCACTATTCAGCAGTTAACAAGTCAAAGGTTTTAGCCGTTATGAATGGTGTTAAGAACGAGAAATATTTAGGAATGTGCAAATAAATTTTATATTCAGATTTTAAAAGATATATACAATTTCATTTCTTAATAAGAAATCCACGTAAAACTGAAAGAAGATATCGCTTATAATCGACTCATAACTTGCAAGCAATGATTGTGAATAGATTTTGTATTATTTTTTAAGTGCAAACAGTCAATTACCAATATTGCTTCCAAAAATGAAGTACCTCCTTTGGGTTTTTTCAATGTCAGTGAAAAACAAAAGCTATATGAAAAAATTGCACTTGTATTTCTTGTGAACGTATAGCAAGCGTTCCCTGAAGCCAAACATTTTAAAAAGATTATAAATTCTACAGCAAATGTTTTTTAACGTTTCAAGACGGTAACTAGAAAACCGGCATTATGTTATATTGTGCTTTAGTGGTCCCTTGTAAAAATAAATTACAAAGTACTAAGCTTTTGAGCTGCTTTGGCGTCGTTGCCAAACGAATAAGAAATCTTATACTTATTTGTTTTTTGATTTCAACTATATGCATTGAAAATTACAATATGCAACTAGTAGGTTTGAGACATAGCCTCAATATTTTAACTTGCATTTTTATATACAAAATAAATATAATGTTTATTGTTTAAAGATCTTTATTTCTCAGTAAAAAAATTTTTATTTTATTTACATGAGAAACTTAATATAATATAAATATACGAACGAGATACGCGTCGCCATCAGCTATCCCAATTTAAGTCTATGAGGCTCATTCTAGTATGAATATTTAATGCCCTTTTGAATTGATTAAACACGCTAATATTTTAGAGGGTAATTGATTAATAATTGCACACCCTCATACTCACTAGACTTTTTTAAATAATTTTTGCGCGGCTTCGGCAAGATAAGCAAACTGGCTCGACGAGTATTGGGAGTAGTGGTGTATATGATTTCTTTAAATGATAAGCTACTATGGAGTGAGTTATTTAATTTTTTTTAAATTAAAATACAGGTGCTATAAACATATAGTTGTTTAATCGTCATAATTTTTTAGAAATGGTTTCTTGATAGATTTTATTAGTAGGTGTTAAAAAATTGTATCTAAATAGTGATTTTATTAATTTATTTTGTAGCTTTTGTATCTTAGAAATTTTGTTTTTGCATGCTGTACCCCATATTTCAATTAGATATATGATATAAATAAATAATTAAATATAATGGTCAGCTTACAACACATTTTAATCAGCTTAAATACATCTTTAACTAATATTTATATGGCATTGTATGGTTTACCCTATACATTTTAAATTAAGACTAGCGGACCGACAATTCTCCTGTACATCTTAAATACAAAAAAAACATCTAATTATAGATCTAAACTATACTCGAATCCAATTGAACACATACACATTTTATTAATGTCGGTCTAGCCGTTGAGTTTAATTACACACACTCTCACAAAAATAAACATTTTATATAGGTTTAAAAATACATATTATACAAATATTAATATAATTTAATTTAAGTAAAATGATGGAATGGTCGCTCTTCGGAACGGTAAGACAAGACTGTCACTTTAATGTTAGGGAATGATTTCAAAGAGCTACTTAGTACGTACTAAGACTCCTTTATAACAAAATCCATTAGGTTTTTGTCGCACGTTCTCATTATTTATTTATATATTAACTCTCGACTCTTAATCTTACACGTAGTATTATAAAATAATTCTTTAATGACTTAGATCGGTTCAAATAATTGAAAAACCTAGTTAATATGTATTTCTTGCAAGCGGTTCAAACTTTTAAAGAACACGTGCTTTTTATCTTAAACCGTCAAACGTCGGGACAACTTTGTATTCTCTTTGAATATTCTTGTAAATATTTCGTGCTGTTTCAAATAAACTTGTGAATTTAAAATATATCTCCTCTCTCTTCTCAGGTATTGGTGGTCTCCGAGCGACAGAGCTTAGAATATCGCCGCCTGTGGTACAGCGTGGATCAGACGTTACTTTAGCCTGTCTGTACGAGCTAACAGAGGCGCCACTCTACTCTGTTAAGTGGTACAGGGGCCGACATGAGTTTTACCGGTTCTCACCAAGTGAGACGCCAGCTACCAAGATATTTCCCTTCGCTGGAATTAATGTTGATGTAAGTATTTTGTAGGCAAAGTTGCATTGTCTAGTTTCGGAGGTCAAGCCTCAAATAGGTAGTTAGGTAGGTAAATAACCAGGTAGTAAAAGTTAGTGTTTGTAGTTTTACTAACACTCAATGCAAAATCTAAATAAATAGGCTCACAGTTCGATCATTTGATTCTAGGTGAACAGCCTTCATAAACATCGTCGGATTTAGATCTAAGATATGCTGGTTTCTTCACAATTTTCCTTCCTTCGCCATACGAGTCGACATTAATTGCGCATATAGAAAGTAACACTGCTCGGTCATTTCTACATACAATCTGTTTTACTGACTTAGATGCCGGTCGGTTATGGCTACTAAAATTTCATGTTAAACTGAACAAAGTATGATAATAACTTTATTGAGTTGGCTGTTTAAATCCAGTGAATACACTTTGTGGAACCAGCTGCCCACTAAATTATTTCCGAACCAATTCGACTTCTCGAAGGGTCCTTCAAGAAAATAGCGCACCGATTCTTGAAAGGCCTGCAACGCACTCGCGAGCCCTCTGGCATTGAGAGTGTCCATGAGTGGCGGTATCACTTAACATCAGGTGAGCCTCCTGCCCGTTTGCCCCCGGTTCTATAAAAAAAAGAACATTCAGATACAAGGTCTAGGTTGCAAAATACGAGGGTGCGCGTCGAGCTCTCGACCGAGGCGGACGTGTCTTTTGTGAAGCGCAGACGCTGTTATTGCTATGCGTTGACGTACCTACTTTTCGCGAGTATTGATCGTCATTGGTTTGAAAATCGTTTGTGTCTTGAAGAAGAGGAGAGTTTGTGTCTTGCGTTGATTAATTTCCGCATTCTTTTATTGGTTTTGGTATAATTGTTCAAGGTCATGCGTTGATTAATTTCCGCAGTCTTCGGATAATAGGTCCAAAAGTATTCGTGGTTCTTAATCTTTGTGTCGTTGTGTTTGCGTCTGTTGTTGTTTTCTATATATATATTTTTTATTTTTTTATTTTTTGTAATGATATCTTGGTTTGATATTTAGTGTTGTGGTTTTAATCAAAATGGATGACTGTAGCTCGGAATCGAGCATATCTGGGGTGGCTAAGACCCGTAAACGGTCTTTCTTCAAGGAGCCTCTTGATGTCGGCGGTATATCTGCTTCTGATACTGAGACAGAACAATCGGTTTCAAGGAGGGAAACTGTGAAGAAAAAGCCGAGTTCTCATTGTGTTGGTATTGGAAAAGCCAGGAAAGCATTTAAAGAGGCTAAAGAAGAAGCGGCGGAAGTTGCCTTTGAGAGGCACTTACGGAGTAAGTCTTTTCGCAAGGAAGCCGGAAAAAAGTCTGTGATTAAACCGTCATTTCTTCTTGATGAAGATATTGAATCTCTGGGCGCAGTAGATATACGACAGAGAGCGGAGATAAGAACAGCTAAGCTTCTGGAGTTTGCTAAAAATCCAGGGAGTCTTACTGAACCTCATTCTGACGAACTGCAAAAGGCGGCAGAAGACTTGCAGGAGATAATTAAATGTTTAACGTCTCGTTCAGTGGCAGAGGAGACTCGCCGCCTGCAAGCGGATAACAAACGTCTGCGAAACCATGTTGCTGATCTGGAAGGATCTTTAAAGGCACTGCGAAGGGAGTTCTCTGAAAGATCAGCTCCTTTTTCCGAAGTTAACCCCTCACAAGACCCAAATTTTTTGAAGACGATAATAAATGAGATACAAGGTGAGGTCATGCGCTCGGTGGGTGCAATGATCGATGCCAAATTGGCGGGAATGGAGGACCGCTTATTACCAGCAAGTATTATTCGTCCCCCTTGCGGCTTCAAAAGAAAGAGAACACGCGAGACCTGTGGGGTCTTCCATTAATGTGCTGCCTGTTGCAGGTGACACTGATAATTCAATTCAGATGCTTGAGGGTCATTGCCCTACTCCAAGTTGCTCCCAGGAGCAGGATGGTGCCTGGACGTCAGTTGTTGCGCATCCTAAGCGCAAAAGTAAGATATTGTCTACTCCTGCGGAGATGGCAACTGTGCCAAGTGCGGTATCGGAAGCACGAAAAAAAGTTAAACTTTCTGCACCGCGATCTGCTGCGGTTGTCATTAAATTGCAGCAGGAGGCCGCAGATAGAGGTGTTACGTATGCGGGTATATTAAAAAAGGCTAGGGACAATGTCGTATTAGCTGACTTAGGCGTGACTGAAGTCAGAATTAGAGAGACTGCAACAGGAGCCCGAATTATTGAGATACCCGGAACTCAAAGTGCAGAAAAGGCTAGCCAACTTGCTGAGAAACTTCGCAACGTTCTTGCAGAAGAGGTTAGGGTGGAAACGCCGGTGAAGCGAGCAGCTCTTCGAATTGTGGGACTGGATGACTCTGTGTCTGTCCAAGAAATCATTGCAGCAATAGCTGCAAAGGGTGAATGTGAGGTGGATGTGATAAAGGCGAGCGCTCTTGTAAGGGGCCAGGGTGGAAACAATATAGTTTTTGTACAATGCCCAGTCACTGCAGCTAAAAAAGTTACCGAAGGTCGTTTGCTTGTAGGTTGGAGTTCAGCTCACATTCAGGTGATAGAAGATGGCCCTCTACGATGCTATAAATGTCTAGGTTTAGGCCATATTAGTGTGAAATGTCCATCAGATGTGGATCGTAGCACTTTATGTTTCCGATGTGGAAAGAATGGACATCAATCTGCAACATGTACAGCGGCTGTTGCGCACTGTGCTGTCTGTGGCGATGCTGGTAAGCCAGCGGACCACATAATGAGAGGAAGAAAATGTAATCCTCCTATTGTTAAGGCAAAGATGGTGCATTTGGCTAGAGGGATCAGCACTGTAGATCAGGCTTTGCCTCGGGAGGCTGATATTATGTCTCAATAATGGGTAGTAGGGCACATATTAACTTTCTGCAGGCGAATATAAATCACTGCGCTAGGGCACAGGACCTTCTCCTGCAGACTAGGGCTGAATGGGATATTGATATTACTGTTGTCTCGGAGCCATACTTTGTTCCTTCACCATCTCATTGGTTAGAAGATTTAAGTGGCCTCGTCTGTATAATTGCTCGTCCTGGTGGATATCCTCTTATTTTAAAGGATCGTGGTATAGGTTATCTTGTGGCTGAGTGGAACGGCCTCATAATAGTTGCTGTTTATTTTTCTCCAAACAGAGAACTATCGGAGTTTCTTACTTTTCTGGACAACTTATGCCTCCCAATCCAACGAGCACAATTGCCAGTAATAGTATTAGGCGACTTTAATGCCCGATCTCAAACATGGGGTGATAGCCTCACTAATGATAGAGGAAAAGCTGTAGAGGAATGGTATACAGAATTGGGACTTTTTCTGCATAATAGAGGGAACGTTCCAACCTGTGTGCGGGCGCAAGGGCAATCCTTGGTAGATCTAACATTTTCTTCACCAAGTCTAGCCTCCTCGGTGCAAAATTGGAAAGTTGCGGAAGATATTGAGACTCTGTCGGACCATCGCTATATTAGGTTCAATATTTTTAAATCCCAGATACGGTATGAAGTGGGTGTTAATAGACAGGCATTCCCACGCTGGGTTCTCAGCAGTCTAAATAAGGATCTAGCAGAAGAGGCGGCTATTGTACAAGCCTGGTGTGCTCCCGCTATCTGGCCTACAGACGTTAATGAAGCAGCTAGTCGTCTTCGTCATGCGGCAAAAGCAATATCAAACGCTTCCATGTCAAAATGGAGGCGCCAGCCACCACGTAGAATGGTTCATTGGTGGAACGAGAATATTGCTTATTTACGTGAAATGTGCAACAGTGCTAGAAGAGCATATCTTCGCAATCGCCGAAGACATCGGCGTGATGCTGCTCAAGAACAACGACTTCACTCTCAATTTGTAGAACATAAGAAGGCCCTACAACTGGCTATTAGTCAGGCTAAGGATAAGGCACATAGTGAGTTTCTTGAAAGTCTCAATCAGGACCCATGGGGGCGCCCATACCGTCTTGTACGAAATAAATTGCAGGCAGGAGGTCCTTCACTAACTGAGACACTCCGGTCAGACTTTGTCGCCAGAATTGTATCTGAACTATTTCCCGCTGACCCCAACATTGTTCCTCCACGGATGACATCTGATATAAGACCAGAAATAGAAGGCGAGATTCCCTTGGTTAGTGATGTGGAATTTGCAAACGTAGTGGATCGTTTAAAAAAGCGTAGGAGAGCCCCAGGTCCAGACGGTATACACGGCCGTGTATTGGCAATTGCTGTTGAATATCTAGAGGGTGAAATGCGGGAATCATTTAATCTTTGTTTTTGTACTGGACAATTTCCGCAACTATGGAAGGAGGGGCGTCTATGTTTATTGCGCAAGCCTGGTCGCCCGCAAGATACTTCATCAGCATACCGCCCAATAGTTTTACTTAATGAGGTGGGTAAGCTTTTAGAAAGGATAATAGTTTGGCGCTTAAGTCAACATATATCTGTTGTTGGTCCAGATTTAGCCGACGCTCAGTACGGATTTAGAGTTGGGCGATCAACATTAGAAGCGATTGGCGCCTTGAAACATTTTACTATGGAGGCTGTCCGTAGTGGAGGTAAGGCCTTGGCAGTTTCCTTGGATATTTCCAATGCTTTCAATAGCTTGCCGTTTACAGTCATAATGGAGGCTCTCCGTTTCCACGGTGTGCCCTTATATCTTCAGAATCTTGTCAGAAGCTATTTAGAAGATCGTAAAATACTGTATGTAAATGACTCAGGCGAGCTGGTTCGGTGGCCAATGAAGTGCGGGGTTCCTCAGGGCTCGGTACTGGGCCCCCTTTTATGGAACATTGGATACGATTGGGTGCTTAGGGGTACGTTGCTACCTAAGTTAAAAATGTTTTGCTATGCAGATGATACCCTTATTGTAGCGCAAGGTAGAGACTTCCAAGAAGTGGTACGTCTAGTAGAAGTTGGGACCTCTTTAGTAGTTGATAGGATTGGCCTACTAGGGCTTAAGGTTGCTCTTGAAAAGACTAGTGCGCTCTTGTTTCACGGGCCAAGAGGTGGCCCGCCTTCTAGGGCATCAATTATTGTTAATGAAGTTAGAGTGTCGGTTGGTCGTAATATGAAGTATTTAGGGCTCATTCTTGATGGTAGGTGGAAGTTTGAGGATCATTTTAAAGCTCTTGGTTCGAGACTAGTTGGTGCAGCAGGGGCACTGAGTCGTCTGCTTCCAAATATAGGTGGACCTGACGAACGGTGTCGGAGGCTTTACTGTGGGGTCATTCGAAGCATGGCACTTTACGGAGCCCCAGTGTGGCAAGACTCGCTCACTTTAACCAATAAAATCCTTCTACGGAGGCCGCAAAGGGTTGTGGCAAGAAGAATAGTCCGTTGTTACCGAACGGTGTCTTTTACCGCTTGCTGTATATTGGCTGGCACTCCACCTTGGGAGTTAGAGGCTGAGGCTCTCACTTTAGTATACAATCACCGGATGGAGTCGAGGGCTGAAGGTATTTACCCTGGTGTTGAGGAAGTCGAGAATTTAAGACGTTTGGCGCGATCAGCTACAATGCAAAAATGGTACCAAGACTTAGCTAACCCAGCAGCGGGGCATAGAACGGTGGAGGCTATTCGTCCAGTACTTAGTGACTGGGCAAATAGAAAAAGTGGTGCCCTTACCTTTCGTCTTGTGCAGGTGTTGACAGGACATGGATGTTTTGGGCGATACTTACATGACATCGTGCGGCGGGAACCAACACCGAGCTGCTTGGAGTGTGGCGCAAATGATGATACTGCACAGCATACGTTGGAGGATTGTCCGCAGTGGTCTCAGCTACGTCACAATCTTAGTTCCGTGGTGGGTAATAACCTTGCTTTGCCTTGTGTTGTACAAAAAAATGGTCGGCAGTGACGAGGTATGGAATGCAGTGGTATCCTTCTGTGAGCATGTCATGCTACAGAAGGAGACAGCAGAACGAGAGAGGGAGCGCTTTAGGATGAATCCTAGGGGTAGAAGACGGGGAGTAAATAGGAGAAGATATGCCGATCTCCTACCTCCTATGTAGTGTATACTGCACCGGAGGTTTTTGAGTGTAACATGCCGTTGAGGTCCCGGTAGAATGCGACAGCGACCCCGGAGCCTCTGTAACGCGGCTTTGTCGGAACTACTCGAGGTGGTTTTAGTGGGTATTGCTCACCCAGTCTCTGAATAGCAGAGATTTTGGCGTGGGTCGAGTCCCACATACCCCTGTTCAGGGGATGCGCAAATGCATTTCCACCTCGGATATCAAAAAAAAAAAAAAAAAAAAGGTTGCAAAATACACTGTCTACAAAACCGGTAAATGTTGCCAAAGAAATGGCTTATTATTTGATATCATCGACCTAATTTATACTTTTAACCCACTAGAAATATATAAAAGCCAGTACTTTAATTACTTTACTTTACTTTTCTTTGGTGTCGCGACTCACTCAAGGAGGCTATCCAGGTCGCCTTTGATATTTTAATTTTACTAACAGTTTTGCTTCTTCAAATTAGCTATTTTCAGTTTAATGCAGTCTTAAGAACCGGTGTGCATTTAAAGTCAATATTTTAAATTATTTAAATATGTAATTTCCAAAATATTTAATTTTAATTGTCTATGGAAAATTCCCAAGCTATTTTAACTTTTATTTGTAAATTGTTAATAAATATATCTATTTGGTATTTAAAGGAACTTGGGCTTGTATTTATAGTATTAATCAATAACATTCTACTATATTGAATTAATTAATGCACGCATAAAATATTGTATTTCTGTTTAATACAGTTTTTCCTGCAGTAACTAAAGCTATCTAGTAAATTTATAACTTTAGGTAGATTATGTATTACACTACTTAGGTAGATACTACGGTTTAAGACTTTTATTTCTCATT